AGCATCTTTGACTGCTGCCTGAATGACTGTCCCAAACATCCCATCTGTTTCCAAAGCCCACCTTCTTCACCTCTGAAGTTTTCTGCACCTTCATTCCACCAGCACAAACCTAACCCTGAGCCTCATCATCTCACTTAATCTATCGAAACAGACTCTTAACTAGCCTAGCCCTGCCCTGGGTTTCCATTTTATTCTATTTCCTGCATCTGCTCATGTTACTTCTCCTGTTTATCATACCAAGTGCTCTTCATTATTAATGCAGTAAGTCTGAGCTCTTTGCTCTGCATTCAAAGTCATCTATGTGGGCCTCAAAGTTATGATATAATAATGTTCAATTCTATAATTGAGTACTGAGTGCCTGCTATGCAACAAGTATATGGTACTAGATCTTCTGAATGATTCTCAAATAAAGAGGACACTCTTCGCTGGTTTGGCTCAGTGGATAGGGCGGACTGAAAGGTCCCGGGTTCGATTCTGGTCAAGGGCATATACATTGGTTGAGGGCACATCCCTGGTGTGGGGTGTGCAGGAGGCAGCTGGTCGATGATTCTCATTGATGTTTCTAGTTCTCTATCCCTCTCCCTTCCTCTCTGTAAAAAATTAATAGAATATATTTAAAAAAAGAGGACACTCTTCTCAAAGAGTTTGTAGTTGCCACTTCTTATAATATCTATTATGATGGTTTCCAGGTACTGAATGCTTCAGACAGGACACATGTTCCCTCTGCTCTAGTCCACATGGAACGCCTACTTTTCTTCATGACTTCCCCACCATCATTCATATAGTCCCAGGCCTGGAATGGTTTCTTCTTCTTTTTTTAATTGATTTCAGAGAGGAAGGGAGAAGGAGAGAAAGATAGAAATATTAATGATGAGAGAGATTAATTGACCTGCTGCCTCCTGCATGCTTCCTACTGAAAATCAAGCCCACGACCTAGGCAAGTGCCCTAGCTGGGAATCAAACTGTGAACTCCTGGTTTGTGGGTCAGCACTCAACCACTGAGCCACGCTGGCCAGACTGGAATGGTTTCTTTAATCACCTTTCTTTAACACATATTTATTGCTAATCTCAAAGCAGGAGTCAACGTCACACAAATTCTCATCTTTCTGAGAACAAATGTAAAATGCATCTGGTCATATAAAGAGAATAAAGTAGGTTAAGAATCAAACTGACAAAGTCTTACCCCTTCTTGACTGATGAAATTTCTGTGCTCCTCACCACTGTATGAGCTGTGCTGGAGGCTAAGTACAGTAGTTAGCATAATAAATTCAAAAAGTTGTTGGAAGGCTGATGGACATCTTCAGCAGGGCTAAAGATCTGCAAATTATTCCCTACTGCCAAATAGCTGAGGGCAAATCCCCTAACCTGGTAATCCTTTATTGTTTACCAAACCTTACCTTTGATATGTATACCTGCTTTGCTAAAGAGTAAAATGTGTGAATAAAAAGCTGAGTGGGTCCAAAGATTCAGAGAGCCACTCCACTAGAGAGCTGGTTTCCATCTGGCTCCCCCAAAATGCCTTCCAAATTAATATTTCTTGCCTAGTATATTCATTTGTGTCACAATCCCTTCTCCAGATTTCTGAACCCTTGCTGGGAAAAGACTGTGGCAGGACTGTATGGTAGAACCCATTCTACAGTGAGGTGGGGGAGATAAGGAGTGAAGGGACTAATCCCATTCAAAACACATGATTGAGAACAGCAATCATGATGATGGCTAATATTTATTAAGTATTCAAAATATAAGCAGTAGCCATTTAAAACCTTACACTGATAAATTGAGATTCTATTATTCCCATGATATTGATACTTGAGACATAAAGGAGGTTAAGTTGTCAACATTTGCAATGATGATATATGGCAGATCCAAATGAACCAAGGCAGTTCAGTTTGAAGGCCTAAACCAATCACCATTCCCTGATTTAACCCACAGGATGGCAAGGTGCTCTTCAAAGATGGAATCAATGAGTGATGGTTAGATGTCCAACAGATTTCCACGTTAATTACCTCCCCTGCTGCCAATCTCCTCTCCTATAAATCCATCCTCCAAAAATACAGGAGTGATTTATTCAACATGAAAGTCCAACTTTGCCATTATTCTGACTAAACAATTCAATGGCTCCCATTACTGGAACGAGAAACCATTGTTATATATTGCTTTGCAATGAAATTTATGAGGTGGTGTGTCAGTTTAAGAAATCTTCTACACCACATCTAAACACCCGGTATAGAAGAAAAAGTTTATTTTGTGAGTTGTTGTATTAGCCATTCTGAAGGGAATCCTTATTGGATGTCAGTGAAAGACTGTTGCATGAATATTTAGTTTTTCTGCCCAGAAATCTGCTTTTGGGAAGGTATTACAACAAAGTCAGGGAAGCTCAGGGTGGGCAAAGGGGAGAATGGTTAAACACAAGGGCTCTGGAGCCAGAGTTTGCAGGACTGAGTTTGCACTTGAGGTTGCCTTGCCTACAGCAACCTCAAGTGCAATTGGAGGAAAACATCTTCCTCATGGGATTTCTGTGAGGATTGAAAGAGGTAACATTAAAGAACTTAAAATAATGTCTACATAGAAATTTCAAATAAAGTAATAATATTTATATATCATTAAAGTTTTCATTCTTCTATACTTTAGTTAATTTATAGTTTACATAGTAATATGTGAATGTAGTTTTCAAAAACAAGAACTATAAGAGAGTATGGGAAAAAGAAAAGGTGACCCTCTCCAGAGAAAGTATTGCTAAGATTTCTCATTTGCTCTTCTAGAATTTTTCTATGCATATAAAAATATACATGAGCTTTTATTTAAAATAAAAAAATAAAAGATAGCATTTATGGTAGTTTTTCACCTTGCCTTTTTTTCCTGTGAAGATTGTTCCGTAGATTTACTGAGTTGCTTTCAATGGCTTTGCAGTATGTCAACATGTAAATGTGGTAAACTTATTTAACACCTTCTCTATTGATGGACATGTATGTCATTTTTCCATCATTCTCTGTGACAAAATTCATTTCCATGAATATGCTTGTATGATTATTTCTATAGAATCCATTTCCAGAAGTGGAATTGCTAGGTAAACTGTATGTGCATTTGAAAGTTTTATAGCTCTTGTTCAACTGCCTTCTGAAGAGGCTGAATTTATATCTCTACTCAGTTGTAGTATAGAGAAATTATTTAAATATATTTCTATAAGCCACTCAATTTTCTTAGGCCAGTTTTCTCTCTGTCCCAGAAAACCTCAAGCTATGTTCCTGCCTCCTTGCCTGTAATCTTGTTTTGTTCTGAGCCTGGAATTCCCCCCCCCCTTTTTTTTCCATTTGTCTATCTCCAGGGGTGGGGAGTCTTTTTTCTGGCAAGGGCCATTTGGATATTTATAGCATCATTCACGGGCCATATAAAATTATCAACTTAAAAATTAGCCTGATAGATTTGGCCAAACATTTAATTAACTCACCTCTAATGCCTTTGCAGGGGCAGACCAAATGGTTTCTCAGACCTCATATGGCCCTGATTCTAAGCCCTACCCATCTGCATTAGTAGAACACACTCAGTTGCAAATAAAACTCTAATGATGCTGAAACCAGTTTGGCTCAGTGGTAAAGCGTCGGTCTGCAGACTGAAAGGTCCCAGGTTCGATTCCGGTCAAAGGCATATACATTGGTTACCGGCACATCCCCGGTAGGGGGTGTGCAAGAGGCAGCTGGTCTATGTTTCTCTCTCATCCACATTTCTAGCTCTCTCTCTCTCTCTCTTCCTCTCTGTAAAAAATCAATAAAATATGTTGTTGTTGTTGTTGTTTTAAATAAAAATGAAACTAGCTGAAGAAAAGTTAAATGGGGAATTGAGGATAGTTATTGAAAGAATTCTAGGTAATCATAAAATTGAAAGATGAGCTACAGATTCCACGGCAGTTCTAAGGACCTAAGACTGGAATCCATACATATTCCTTCCAATTCCCTATTTCCAACTCTTCATATTTCTATATGACCTAATTCTCTTATGTAGTAGATTGATAGGTCCCAAAGATGTAAAAAATGTGAAAGTTTAGCCCTAACTGGTTTGGCTTAGTGGATAGAGCATCGACCTGCGAACTCAAGGGTCCCAGGTTTAATTCAGGTCAAGACAATATTCCTTGGTTTCAGGCACATACCCAGAAGGAAGTGTGCAGGACGCAGCTGATCAATGTTTCTCTCTCTTCAATGTTTCTAACTCTCTATTCCTTTCCCTTCCTCTCTGTAAAAAAATAAAAATAAAAATCAATAAAATATACTTTTTTAAATGTGAAAGTTTACATAAAAGATATCAGATTATAAACATGAAAATTCATGTTTTACCTTGGCAACTTCTGGCTATCCTTACGTTTGTTGTCCTCTCATGAGTCATTACATGGAATTCAATGAAGATCAGAAAGCACTGGCTGAATGTCCAAAAAAATAAATCCTCCCAAATATCAGGGAGTCAAAATTCCACTGTAATTCTTTATAATTTTACTAGAGGCCCCATGCATGAAAATCGTGCACGGGGGTGGTGGTGGTGGCGTCCCTTAGCCCAACCTGCACCCTCTCCAATCTGGGATCCCTGGAGGGATGTCCAACTGCCCATTTAGGCCTGATCCCAGAAGGATGTCCCAGTCGGACCTCCCTCTCACAATCCAGGACTGCTGGCTCCCAACTGCTTGCCTGCCTGCCTTCCTGATTGTCCCTAACCGCTTCTGCCTGCCAGCCCAATCACCCCCTAACCACTCCCCTGCCAGCCTAATTGTCCCTAACTGCCCTCACTTGCAAGCCCAGGTCCACTTCTACAACTGCCCTTCCCTGCAGACCCAGTCATCCCCAACTTCCCTCCTGTGCCGGCCTGGTCACTCCTAACTGTCCTCCCCTGTAGGTTTGATTGCCCCCAACTGTCCTTTCTTGCAGGCCTGGTCTCTCCCAACTGTCCTCCCCTGCTGGTCTGATTGCTCACAACTTCCCTCCCCTACTGGCCTGATCTCTCTCAACTGCCCTTTAAATGAAAATTGTCCAGCAACAAATTCAGGGCCATCTCTTCCCTGCCTCCCTGAGGAGAATGCTTTGGAAGTGCCCCTTCCTCACGCTCTCCGTGGTCCTGAACCACCCTCTAGAGCTGTCTTGTAGTGGCAGAGAAAATGTGATGGGGTGGGAGGGAGAGGATTAGGGAAGCTGTTCTGGGAACAAAGAAAAGGTTTTATTCCTAATCCTTTAATTTTAAATACTCGGTTACCAACAACAACAATAAAAACACAATCAACCTTGGCCAACAGAGAGAGCAAGCAATTTTGTGGGAGATAAATGTCCCTGTGCACAACACCTGGGGAAGTGGGCAGGTCACCACTGGGCAGAGACAGAATGGGTCAACTGCCATTTTCAATTGACATGCAACAAATTGTACGTGGATTTTATTTATTTAAACTTACATCAATGATGGAATAATTTCAAAACTAAAACAATAATAAAATCTCACAGTTCACAGAGTTGTGCTTAAGTATATTTTGTAATTCTAGAAATATCTCAAGAGTTATGGTTTTTACTCTTTAGCAAATTTTATGTCCACTAACTATGTTGCCATTTTTATTTTACATAATTATGCTGTTGGGTGTTGATTTATTTTACATAAAATTTTATTAATTTTAGCTTAAAACTAAGTGCTAGTGTGAATATTTTCCCTTTGAATGCACTAAGCTACTTTCCATTCACAAATGTTTAGGAAAAAAACAACTCTTCACACTTGTCAGAAGAGATTTGATGCCTGTGATTAAAAATAGAGAAGCCCCAATGCAAGAATGCCTCAGTTGAGTAGAGCTTTTATTGCTGTTCTTCTCATTGTATGTATATATATGACAATAAAGTTTACAGACCCTACTTGTGTTTCACAGCACCATATTACTCTGCCTTTGAACTAATCCTGTCATTGAGAGCTGTGATACTGAGTGTGGTCCCCACCCCTATACAGCAGATTCAGCATCACCTGACATGTGTTAAAAATGCAGATCCTCAGCCTGCCCTAGATCTTGGGAATCAGAACCTGAATCTCAACAAGATCCTCAGATCTAAGAAGCATCGATTGAGCAGATTCTTAAGCCAAATGTAATTTTCTAGCTCACTTTTAATTTCATTATTTCACATTTTTATAATTTTTAAAATATTTTATTGATTTTTTACAGAGAGGAAGAGAGAGGGATAGAGAGTTAGAAGCATTGATGAGAGAGAATCATCGATCAGCCGCCTCCTGCACACCCCCCATCGGGAATGTGCCCACAACCAAGGTACATGCCTCTGACAGGAATCGAACCCAGGACCTTTCAGTCTGCAGGCCGACGCTCAATCCACTGAGCCAAACCAGTTTCGGCAACTATTATTTCACATTTTTAAACCAAAAGCAAGAACAATTTAATTATAAGAGGAAACAAGGTTATCAAAGGGAAAGGCATCTTTGGGCTCTCGAATTGTACTGTCTATGATCAATGACTTTAAATAAGAAGGCAGTTGATTGTTTTGGGATCTCATTTGCATTGTGCCTACTTTTTTTCATCAAAGAGATCACAGCACTCTGTATTAATTGGTCTTATATCTTCTCTGAAAGCTTCCTGTCGGCAGGGCCATGTCTTAGATATCTAAATCCTCAGTGCCTAACCTAATGCCTAACACAGGAAGGTGCTCAAAACATTGGAATGGCAACACATAAACAAATAACCAATCACTTACCTGGCTTACATCCACCCTTCAAGTTCAAGTTTACAACTCCTCTCCTTCATAAAGATTTCTTCAGTTATTTCATCCACCATACTCTCCACCTGCTGTAAATACCATTTATTTGAGATTTAACACTTAACACACACACACACACACACACACACACACACACACACGATTTTAGTTATCAATTATCTTTATTTTGTATCTCTCTTATTACCCCATCCAGGCTGTATAAAATTTAACACCTTGCAGAGTAGGCATTCAAATATTTGTTATGCTTGAACTATCCTATCTAAAAAAGAGGAAATATGCTAATTGACTGCCTTACCCTCAAAGATGGCAGTACCCACAGCCACAAGATTGTAGCACCCAGTCCCCTCAGCCCTGCTAGGATGGCAGGCCCAGCAGGTCTGGCCACTTCTCCAGAGTCCCCCAGTCCCCTCAGCCACCTAGCCAACCAGGGCTGGCCCAGGGCACAGGCAAGCCTTGTTTGGCAGTGGCCCAGCCACCCAGGGCTGCCTGAGGCTCAGGTAACCAGGGCTGGCTGAGGTTTGCGCTGCCAGCAGAGGCAGCAGCAGAGGTGTGATGGGGGTGTTGCCTTCCCCTGATCACCGGGTCACTTCCCGCCCATGAGGATTCCCAGGTTGTGAGAGCGCAGGCCGGGCTGAGCAACCCCCGCTCCAGTGTATAAATTTTCATGTACCGAGCCTCTAGTCTTAAAATAAAAATAGACATTAACATGGGAAAATCTACAATCTTTGATTTTTCATCAAGCATAATTCTGAATTGCCAAAATTAATTCCAGAGATGACAATATTTAAACAGCTCCTCCAGCTGTGACCTATTTATCTTAATAAAGCATCTGTTTTGATACATTAAATACTTTTTAATTTTTAAATGGTTGGTTACATCCTTAGCCAACTCAATTCTTATTTCTGTTAGGACAATAGTTTATGCTTTTCTATCTTGACCGTATGTAAAATGGTTAATTTATAAAAGTTTATAATTAGAGATCATTTTAAAGATATATGTAATAATTTGTAAAGTCTGCATGATGTCCCTGATAGCACCACACAGATCAATATTTCCATTTTAATGCTAATTGTAGAGATATTGCTCAGTAGTGCACCTATGGCATTGAAGGTTTTAACGCCTGCAATCATAACTGCATTTGTGAATATCAAAATAGCTACTCCAGGGTACGTACACCTTAGTGTATTACACAAATGATCTCTAAGTGTCCGATAGATGGCAGCATTGAGCAAGAGATTTGGTTCTAGTTGGCGTTTTGGTTTCTGTGAATTTTCAGTTAGGAGTAAATTTTTCAAATAGTGTGTATCACCACAGTATACCACAAGACTAATTTAGTGTAAGGTGACAAGATGATAGTTGTACTTGCTTAAGTTACTTCACTTAGATTCCACAAAAACATCTCTTTCTATTCTGTATATACTAGTAAAAGGCACCAATGTGCACTTCCAGAACTATCACAACCCATTAATAATAATTTAAAAAAATGTAGAGAACAAATGGATCTACTATCGTATAATTATAATAAATATTAACCACCTTTAACATTGATAGTAAAACATCAGCAACTATGAAGAAATGGCAATACCTAGCATCCGATGATCAGTGATTATCTTCCACATGAAACCCATTGGTCTGACCAGAATTTGTTATAGCAATCTGGCTTATTTAATGATATCTAGCCAATATGTTAGCCACTGACATTAAATTTTTAAAGCAGAAACCCTTTCCCACTGAGACATTTTAAAAAAGCTTTTATAGTAATTTTTCTTATATGATCAAAATCCTAACCTTTCTGTGAAGGTTATTGTAGAATATTTGAAAATTCAATTGATCTTCCTGCCCTCTCCTTTTAGGAAAAAGTTCAATATTTTGTTTTCCATAGAGATGTGTTCTTTTTATTTAGTTTTTTTTTGGGGGGGGGGGGAGGGGGAGTGTCATTTGAAAAGTAAAAGTCTTGGGATTTTGATCGTATTCCTATAATATATGAAATAACCCCCACTCCGAGCTAAATGTCAGAACTAAAAAGCCCTTTGGCCTTAGCTTACATTGTTACTGGTAAACAACCCTTTATCTGTTTTCTTGCCAAGGGTGAAACCCCACACTGCTACACTTCACTACTAACTCCACGCTTCCCTGCTTAACCCACCCCTCCCCTGCTCCGCATAAAGCAAGCTATACCCCCAGAATCTCGGTCACTGTTATTGCCGCCTATCGCCAGCTCCAGATGCGTGTGTGCTATTTATAGCTTTGCCGTAGTGGGCACGTGTGCCCGCATTGCCAGGCTGCCAGGAGGAAAGAGGGCGGGCTTTCAATGCAACAGTGTGTACACAAATTACAGCTTAACCAGGTTTACTGGAGGATGCATGATGGCCGGGAACAAAAAGGTGAAAGGAGAACTGAGAAGCTCCCGGGCTTCGGTTGGGGAGTGCCCCCTTTGCAGATGCCCAGTCCCCGCAATTCACGTATCACACGCTGCTGCTGAATGGCGCTTAGCGTTCTTGTTAATTTTCTTCCCCCCTTCGCAACCTACCTTGGCCCCCCTACCATCCCACCCCACCTCCCCTCCTGTCAGGCAGAGCTTGAAAGACAGGGAGCCCCACCAATCAGCAGGCTTCTCCGGGAGACTCCCCCCGCCCTCACCCCGCCTGAAGGCCCAGCGCCTCGCCTGCTGCGTCTCCCCGCCAGCTTCCCGCAGCGCCTGGGAGCTGGCAGCAGACCGGGGCTCCCGCGCAAACAGGAGACGGGAACCCCGAACCGACCAGGAATGGGGGTGCAAACATAAGACAGCGTTAAGCCGAATGGCAAACGTCGTTTTCGTAGGGTCTTCGGTGCCAGCGGGGCAAGTAGGGGACCACACTGCCCGTGTATAGGTCAGCTTAAAAAATAAACAGAAACTTCGGGGAGCATTTGCTTGTTGGTGCCTGATCCCACAAGGTCAACTGAGAGTCTCTCCAAGCAGACCCAGGCTGCCGACCTGTTCTCGCGAGGTACCCCCATGTTCCTGCCCAGTCGAGCTGGCACCATCCTTGTTTTCTCCCCGTTATCCTTGTGGTCAAGGGTAAAGATTGTATGGGGGCAGCTCCATCGGTGTGTGACACAAACACGTCAGCCAATGTTTACGCAGGAGGCCTTAGGAATCCTCTGTAGGTCCCTAAAATATATATATTTTAAATCGCAAATAAATTTCGGAATATGATAGAGGACATCTCATTTTCTCTCCCCTTGCCTTCACCTCTACACGTGAATCCCCGCCCCTCGCTAGGATCGGGGAAGAGGAGAAGCCGTGATGTTTAAATGTTCCTCCTAACTCAGCAGCAGCTCATCTCACTGCGACGGGCATGGGGTGCTCCCCAGGAATTCCCTCTCCCCGTTTTTGTTTTTGTTTTTTTTTGTTTGTTTGTTTGTTTTGTTTTTTGGTTTTTTTTGAGTGACCAGAAGGCCTCCATCTCTGTCTGCCCTTGGGCGTCCCTCTGCTCCTTCCAGATTCCTCCCTGCAGCAAAGGCGGTGATTGCGAGGAGCAGGCTGGCCCACAAGTTCCTTAGGAAATCGTATAAAAACCCACATCTCAGCCACGGCCTGTCACCCCGAAACTGAAAAGCAGCTTTCCCTTTCCCTTGAGAAGAAAGCCGACCTCCCGAGGGGTTCATTTTTACCTGTTGGGCAAGACGCAGCCCCGCTCCGGCGCCCCCTCCTCCTCCGGCGGCCCTCCCACTCCGGGCTCTCTGGCTGCAGTGCACCCTGCCGCCCCCCCCCCCCCCTCCAGCTCCCCCCTCACTCCCGCTCTTCCCGAACTCCCCCCACCCCGCCGTTCTCCCAGACTCCCTTCTGCTTTGGGGTGACCACCCCAACGCCCCCGCCCGCGCCCGCGGCGGGGATTCCTGGGGCCGGGGGCGCCCTGGGTGGCGCGGGGAGGGCGGTGCGCCCGGGCCGCGGCCGCCAGGGGCGCTGGCTGAGCGCGGAGGGAGGCCCGGGGCGGGCGCCGCTGCGGCACCGCCGGGGGAGCGGGGGGCGGAGCGGGGCGGCGCGGGGCGGGCTCGGCCGGGAATGTAGAGACCCAGGCGGCAGCCTCCCGGCGGCGGCGGCGGCGGCGGCGGCGGCCGGGCTGCGGGGCGCAGAGGCTCCGTCACGTGTTCCTCTCCTGCGAGGGAGACGGCGGCGCGGTCGGAGGGGGCCGGCGCGCGGAGCCAGACGCCGCCGCCGCTTGTTTTGGTTGGGGCTCTCGGCAACTCTCCGAGGAGGAGGAGGAGGAGGAGGAGGGAGGAAGGAGGAGGGGAGAAGTAACTGCAGAGGCAGCGCCTCCCGGGAAGAGGCGTCTTCCCGGACTTCTTCCCAAACCTACTCCCTCGCCTCCCGCCCTCGGCCCCCTCCTCGCCTTCCCCTGCCGCCCGGAGGAGCCAGGGGCAGGGATGTGCCTGTCCCTCCGGCGCGTCCCCAGCTCCCCCGGTTGCCTAGGTGCGTTTCGCGTGGAAAAGCCACTTTCTCCGCCCGCCGAGATGGGCCCGAGCGGGGGCTGCAGAGGACGCGTCTGCGGGCGGCGGCGGCGGCCGCAGCAGCAGCAGCAGCAGCAGCCGCAGCGCCGCGGTCTCCGCGATTGAGCTGGTATTTGGGCGGCTGGTGGCGGCGGGGACTGTTGGGGGGTGAGAGGAGGCGGAGGAGGAGGAGGGAGAACCCCGTGCAACGTTGAGACTTGGCAGCTCGCCTCCCCCTGCCCAAGGATATTTAATTTGCCTCGGGAATCGCCTCTCGCAGAGGGGACCTCGGGAGGGAAGGCGCGCGCGCGCCCGGAGGGGCCACCCGGCGACCCCCGGCCTCTGTCGCCTGCCCGCTCGGGACTCCGGCTCGGGCGGCGAGGAGAGATGCATCCACACTCCTTCCCGGAGACTCGGCTCTGGGAGGATCCGGGCTGCACCCCCGCCGGACGCACTGCCTCTCCCCCGGGTGTTTGCATGAAACGCCCGTGAACTCTGGTCGGGGCTCATCTCCTCGTCCTCGCAGCCGCAGCGCCCTGCTTGGGCTGCTCCTTCCCCGGCGCGGGGTGGGGGGGAGGAGGGCGGCGTGGATTTGGGAGTCGGGGTTTTTGGCCGCCTCCAGCCCTGTTTGCATGCGCGGGGCCTCGGCGAGGAGCCTCCGCCCCCCACCGGGTGGATTTTCGGCGCCTCCCTCCGCTCGGCGGAGGCGGAGGTGGCGGCGGCGGCAGCATGGCGAGCCCCGCGGACGCCGAGGGCTTCTCGGACGTGCGCAAGGTGGGCTACCTGCGCAAACCCAAGAGCATGCACAAGCGCTTCTTCGTGCTGCGGGCGGCCAGCGAGGCGGGGGGCCCGGCGCGCCTGGAGTACTACGAGAACGAGAAGAAGTGGCGGCACAAGTCGAGCGCCCCCAAACGCTCGATCCCCCTCGAGAGCTGCTTCAACATCAACAAGCGGGCCGACTCCAAGAACAAGCACCTGGTGGCCCTCTACACCCGGGACGAGCACTTCGCGATCGCGGCGGACAGCGAGGCCGAGCAGGACAGCTGGTACCAGGCCCTCCTGCAGCTGCATAACCGCGCCAAGAGTCACCACGACGGGGCCGCGGCCCCCGGGACCGGGACGGGGGGCGGCGGCGGCGGCGGCGGCGGCGGGGGCAGCTGCAGCGGCAGCTCCGGCCTGGGCGAGGCCGGGGAGGACCTGAGCTTCTTCGGCGACTGCAACCCCGGGCCCGCCTTCAAAGAGGTCTGGCAGGTGGTCTTGAAACCCAAGGGCCTGGGCCAGACAAAGAACCTGATCGGCATCTACCGCCTCTGCCTGACCAGCAAGACCATCAGCTTCGTGAAGCTGAACACGGAGGCGGCCGCCGTGGTGCTGCAGCTGATGAACATCCGGCGCTGCGGGCACTCGGAGAACTTCTTCTTCATCGAGGTGGGCCGCTCCGCCGTCACCGGGCCCGGGGAGTTCTGGATGCAGGTGGACGACTCAGTGGTGGCCCAGAGCATGCACGAGACCATCCTGGAGGCCATGCGGGCCATGAGCGACGAGTTCCGGCCTCGCAGCAAGAGCCAGTCCTCCTCCAACTGCTCCAACCCCATCAGCGTGCCCCTGCGCAGGCACCACCTCAACAACCCGCCGCCCAGCCAGGTGGGGCTGACCCGCCGCTCCCGCACCGAGAGCATCACGGCCACCTCGCCCGCCAGCCTGGTGGGCGGCAAGCAGGGCTCCTTCCGCGTCCGCGCCTCCAGCGACGGCGAAGGCACGATGTCCCGCCCGGCCTCGGTGGACGGCAGCCCCGTGAGCCCCAGCACCAACAGGACGCACGCCCACCGCCATCGGGGGGGCTGCTCGCGGCTGCACCCCCCGCTCAACCACAGCCGGTCCATCCCCATGCCTTCCTCCCGCTGCTCGCCCTCGGCCACCAGCCCCGTCAGCCTGTCCTCGAGCAGCACCAGCGGGCACGGCTCCACCTCGGACTGCCTTTTCCCGCGGAGATCCAGCGCTTCCGTGTCCGGCTCCCCGAGCGACGGCGGCTTCATCTCCTCCGACGAGTACGGCTCCAGCCCCTGCGATTTCCGGAGCTCCTTCCGCAGTGTCACCCCGGATTCCCTGGGCCACACCCCGCCGGCCCGCGGGGAGGAGGAGCTGAGCAACTATATCTGCATGGGAGGCAAGGGGGCCGCCTCCACGCTCGCCGCCCCCAATGGCCACTACATCTTGCCTTCTCGGGGTGGCAATGGCCACCGCTACCTCCCGGCCGCTGGCGCTGGCGTGGGCACCACGAACTCGGCCCAGGCTGGGGAGGACGCGGCCGGTGCTGCTGCCGAGCTGGACAATCGGTTTCGCAAGCGGACTCACTCCGCTGGCACATCCCCCACCATCTCCCACCAGAAGACCCCGTCGCAGTCCTCCGTGGCTTCCATTGAGGAGTATACAGAGATGATGCCCGCCTGCCCACCAGGAGGGGGCAGTGGAGGCCGGCCGCCCAGCCACCGGCACTCCGCCTTCCTGCCCACCCAGTCCTACCCGGAGGAGGGTCTGGACATGCTCCCCCTGGAGCGCCGCGGAGGGGGCCAAGGCCGCCCCGACACCTCCAGCCTCCACACGGATGATGGCTACATGCCCATGACCCCAGGGGTGGCCCCGGTGCCAGGCAGCCGGAAAGGCAGCGGGGACTACATGCCGATGAGCCCCAAGAGTGTGTCTTCCCCGCAGCAGATCATCAACCCCCTCAGACGCCATCCCCAGAGGGTGGACCCCAATGGCTACATGATGATGTCCCCAAGTGGCAGCTCCTCCCCGGACACTGCGGGTGGGCCCAGCAGCAGCAGCAGCAACAGTGCCGCCCCTCCTCGGAGTAGCTATGGGAAGCCCTGGACAAATGGGGTTGGGGGCCACCCCTCCCACCCGCTGCCACCCTCCAAACTACCCCCGGAGAGCAGCGGTGGGAAGCTCTTGCCTGGTACAGGCGACTACATGAACATGTCACCGGTGGGGGACTCCAGCACCAGCAGCCCCTCCGACTGCTACTGCGGCCCCGAGGACCCCCAGAACAAGCCGGTGCTCTCCTACTACTCATTGCCAAGGTCCTTCAAGCACACCCAGCGCCCGGGGGACCCGGAGGAGGCCGCCCGGCACCAGCACCTGCGCCTTTCCTCCAGCTCTGGCCGCCTTCTCTATGCTGCAGCCGCCGAAGATTCCTCTCCCTCCACCAGCAACGACAGCCTGGGTGGGGGATACTCCGGGGGGAAGCCCGAGCCCAGCCTCCCGCCTCAACTCCACCATCAGGTCCTGCAGACCCATCTGCCTCGAAAGGTGGACTCGGCTGCGCAGACCAACAGCCGCCTGGCTCGGCCCACGAGGCTTTCCCTGGGGGACCCCAAGGCCAGCACCTTACCTCGGGCTCGAGAGCAGCAGCAGCCCGCGGCCCTCCTGCTCCCTCCGGAGCCCAAGAGCCCGGGGGAATATGTGAATATAGAGTTTGGGAGTGATCAGCCTGGCTACTTATCCGGTCCCGTGGCATCCCACAGCTCACCTTCCGTCAGGTGTCCGTCCCAGCTGCAGCCAGCTCCCAGGGAGGAAGGGGCTGGCACCGAAGAGTACATGAACATGGACCTAGGGCCTGGCCGGAGGGCGCCCCCCTGGCAGGAGAGCCCTGCGGTCCAGCCGAGCAGAGTGGGCCCTGCACCTCCAGGGACCGCCAGCGCATGCAGGCCTACCCGGGCAGTGCCTAGCACTCGGGGTGACTACATGACCATGCAGGTGGGTTGTCCCCATCCGAGCTATGTGGACACCTCTCCAGTCGCCCCTGTCAGCTATGCTGATATCCGGACAGGCGTTGTGGAGGAGGGGAGCCTTCCCGGGGCTGCAGCGGCTGCTCCCTCCTCTTCCTCGACAGCCTCTGCTTCCCCCACTGCGCCTCAAGGAGCAGGGGAGCTGGTGGCCCCGCAGGGGTCCGGGGGCACGAGTGCCTTCACCCGGGTGAACCTCAGTCCCAGTGGCAACCAGAGTGCCAAAGTGATCCGCGCAGACCCGCAAGGGTGCCGGAGGCGGCATAGCTCCGAGACCTTCTCCATGCCTAGCGCCCCCCGGGCCGGCAACACGGTGCCCTCAGCGGGGGCTGCAGTAGGGGGCAGCAGTGGCGGCGGCAGCAGCAGCATTGAGGATGTGAAACGTCACAGCTCTGCTTCCTTTGAGAACGTGTGGCTGAGGCCTGGGGAGCTCGGGGGAGCACCCAAAGAGCAGGCTCCAGTGCGAGGGGCTGCAGGCGGTTTGGAGAATGGTCTGAACTATATAGACCTGGATTTGGTCAAGGACTTCAAACAGCGCCCCCAGGAGCACCGCCCTCAGGGGCAGCGTCCCCAGCCCCCAACCCGTCATCATCATCATCATCATCCTCCAGGTAGCAGTGAGAGCAGCTCCTCCAGCCGCTCCAGGGAGGATGTAAGCGCCTATGCCAGCATCAGTTTCCAGAAGCAGCCAGAGGACCTCCAGTAGCTCAACTGAACATCACAGCAGGTGCGTTTCGTGGTGACAAAGTCGGAAGACAAGTTCACTTGAACCTGGTGCTTGAATTCCGTTTCTCTCTGCTTCTGCCCCTTCCCTCTCTTTCCTGTTTCTTCCTTAAGGAGTTGCATTCAAGAGGTGGGTGGGAGAGGTTAGGGCACTTAAAATGCTCACCCCACGGTGACACCTGGCTGATAGTCTAGTCAGTCATATTAACCTGTAGGAGGGCTGTTTTTACTGGAGGCTCCGGACTGTAGTATTTCCAAAACATATGTTCTTTCATGCCAGTTCTGAGGTTTGTGAAGTTCATGTGTAAGAACTTTTTATCTCTTTATAGAAGTTTACTTTTGACTGTATGTTTAAGTCACTTCCTGGAAGGGACAGTTCTTCTACAAAAATATTTGTTCGAACAGGGCTCAGCCTTCATTTGAAATCATTTCTCAGAGCTCTGAGTTTGATCTTGATAAGTTGCTCTGTATACTTTAGTTCTGTGATTACACAATACCAAGGTAACAAAAATAGCAGTAGGAAACATCAGCTTTTATTCACGCCCTCCTAAAATGATTCAGGAGAGAGCGATTGGTTAAGCTTACATATTTAGAAAGAAATAACCTCTCTACCTGTGACCCTTTAGAAAGTAATGATGGGTGATGCTTTCTTTTGGTTCCTGAACCAGGATTTATGAAACATTCACATAGAGACCCACCACCTCACAGGCATGGCTGCTTTTGTATAGGGCATGCAGGGAAGTCTGCATACGTCTGGGACCCGTTATTAGTTAAGAGTTACGGTAATTCAACCCAGTGTGTCTGCCTCACAGTTGTTTGTTCTTGCGAAGGCTTGCACAGAGACATCACACAGATCATGTGGGGGCTCCTGTGCATTGTCTGTAAAATTACTTAACATTTTTATGTTGAAAGAAGGAGTACCAAGTCAAGGAAATGGAGGGGTTTATCCCGTACTCTTCATGTTTAGGCTATTTGTTGTTTGTCTTTTAAGTTCCAGAGTAGATAACCTCATGAAATGTTGAAAGGTGGCTTCAGGTCTTCTGTGGGCAGAGCTGTATTGAAAATGGAAAGCATTTGTAATAGGAAATTAGTTTGCCCTCCCTTCTGTTGAGCCTGTTTTCTGGTGGTCATCGTTGTGGGAAGAAGAGAAGAGTATAGTTCGCAAATAATGTGGTGAGTTGGCAAATGCAGAAGTTTCCAGCATTTGGAAGCACTTTATTCGGCCAAATAGTTTATCTTGTGACCGTCTTCTTACATATGCCTCACAGAATGAGCTTTCCGAAGCCTTAATCTTAATATGTATCCATTCGTAAGAAGTTAATTTGTGCATTGGGTTCCTAGTGATAGGTATTTGTGTATGTGGTCACAGCTCCTTGGTTCTAACAGTTTCCAATATTTGAGCTCTACCATTTCCGTGATGTAAAACAAGGTGTAAGTATACAAACAAGTTAAGATTTTTTGGTGATAAAGATATATTGCAAAAAGCCGCTGTTTGACCAATATTCAGTATTTCTTTTCATGATTCACTAGAAGAGACTTAATTTTGTTTATCAATATGAGCAATAAAAATCTTTGAAAATGTTTTGGGGAATGTGAATCCTGCTAACACTTTAATCATTTGTAGTGCAAAGTCTTTCATTTGTAAAGTAATGACCATCTGAAGGAAAAATTCCTAGCAGAACTTAAATTTTTGTTATAAAGGAGATGAAAGAAGAGGCTAAGAAACAAGTTTTCCTCGCCTATTTTCTTAATTTGAACAGTCTTCTTTTTATAGAGTAGAATAAATAATATTTGCTCTGAAGGAAATTTATGATCAAATTGAGTTTTCATTTTTAAAAAGGGCTTAAAATCCTCCATTATGTGGAAGATACATCAAAAACCAACCAAGCAAAACAAAAATAACCTTCTATTCTTAGTTTTCTTAGGAAAAATATAACATTCTGAAATAATCATAGAATCATTTCCCTAATAATCTTGGAATAGCAGTAGGCCATGCTTTAACAGCACCGTGCCAGACAACTCTACAATGTTTATTTGTAAGATGTAAATGGAGAGAGATGAGAGGTGTGTGTGTGTGTGTGTGTGTGTGAGTACCAAATGCTACTTGGCACATGCACACCCTGAATTGTGCTTGCTTGCCTTTGCCCGTTGACCTTAAAGATGTGATTTGATAGTCATTTATATACTGAAACAAAAGGAAATCAAACCTGCCCTTGGCAAACAACTTTTCCTAGAAATACGTTACCTTGTGAAAACATGGTCTTTCTAACTTCCTGAGCAATTGCCATCTTTGCCTCTCTTTCCCATTTCTCAGGTAAAACCTGGAACATGAAAGGGAACCAGGTGCTATGGGAGTGTGCTCATGCCTCCCAAGGCCTCATCTTAAACGTCTCCGCTTGTCTAATGTGTTTTGCTGTCTATGAACAGAACATTTGTGAGGCTTTTAGCTCAGGTACCCTTTGCTTCACCTCCTGTGCCGCCAGCCATCTTTTCTGTTTCTTCTTTTGGTAGGCCTGTGTGTCTTTCAAACTTGGTTCTGACCTGATAGATCGTTTTCCAGTATCCCCCCCTCCCCATCCCCATTCCCTTTGTTTCCCACCTATGTTCCTGGCATCGCCCCACCTCCACCCCCCTATTTTCCCCTCCATTCTAGAATTCCGCAGTATTTGTGGCCTCCTCTCTGCAGAGAGTAAGCCGAGAGCCCAAGGAGGGCAAAAAAGGACGCAGCAGCCCAGCTGCCTTTAACCCGCGTTTACCCCAAATTCTCCTTTTCGTTTTGAAACTGCAGCTGGGTAGACGGGAGCAGGCTTTGGCAAGGACACTGACCCAAGCCATCTTTTTAGGTTCCTCCTCCTCCTCCTCCTCCTCCTTCTTTTTTTTTGGGGGGGGTCAGGGATTCTGTCTACCCATCTCCCGCCTCCCATTTCCCCTCGCTGTGTGGCCTTTTTGTCTGGCTCAAACCCTGTAGGCTCTGGCACTTTCCTCTTTCCAGGGTCACCTCCTCTTCCTGCATTCCTCCCTATTTATTTGGCACTTGGCTCTCTCCCCGGCCCCCCCCTCTCCTTAGCCCCCTTTTGCCCAGACTTGAGGATTCGGCCTCAGCCGCCCTCTGAAGTCTGCCATCCCGCCCAGCCTCGGTGGCCCGAGGGCACCGCGGTGGCCTGGGCCCTTCCGCTGCCCCCGTGGTGGGCGAGCCCTTGCCCTTGAGGCCTTGCGGAGCACAGACTGCCTCTGAGGGGGCGGGGCAGGCGGGAGCTGATTGGTCTCCCGCCAGAGCCAATCAGCGGGGGGATCAGCCCGGCTGTGCGGGTGGGAGGCGGGGCCAGGGATGGCAGGGGTCCCACAGTGACCGAGCGCCTGGGGTCCGGGCGGCCTTTCCCCACCCCTCTCCTCCCACCCCTCTCCTCCCACTTTCTCCTCCCACCCCTCTCCTCCCACCCCTTCCCTCCAGCGCGGGCAGCACTGAGCCAAACCCGCGCCCCTTCCTCCTCCTCCCAGAGGATGCGCGCACTCAGACTGGAATCCTAAGAATGAGAAAGTCCAAGCGGCCCACTTGACCGAGACGCACACTTCCTCTCGTTTTTTAATTGAGAAAAATCCAGGCCCTGACCATGTGACGTGCCCCATTTTGTTTCCCTCCTCTGGCTACTACGGTTTACTAAGACACCGCCGTGTTCCTTCATCTTCCTGTCTTAAAATCCGGGAGCTGGAGGCAGCTGCAGCACGTGGTGGTGGTGCTCAGGACTCTCACATTTTCCTCCCTAACCGATGGGAGGGAGGAGAAAAAAGGACTGAGAAGGGTTAGGGACCATGGGGGAGGGGGAAATAATTTGTCTTGAAATTGTATTAGGGTCAACACTATATTGAGTGCCCATAGTTTGCCAAGCATGGACAAAAGCTGAGCTCACAGTGAAATGGAAACCTCTGATAGGAGCTTGCAAATCTTGAGCATTTAGAGATTCGTTGTAAGGGCTCAGATCGGGTTCCTTTCTGAGGTGGAAGGAAATACTGCTTAAGCTCTCAAAAACAGATTTTACTTTTGACCACTGACCTCCCCTGTGCAAGCTCCTCCGGGCAGCCTGGGCGACCTGATGTTTGAAACCTGCTAGATTTGTGTCGTGTTCCCTCAAATAATCAAAAGTATGTAAGATGTGTTACTAGATGGGTCAGAAACTTTGTTGACACGTGTCCTTCCTAAAATAAAGAAGAAAAATGAGAAATACTGTGGAAGTATTTTTTTTTTTCCTCCCCCTCACCCCAGGCTCTCAAATATGCATTTCTTACCAGCCAGAGTCCCTGAGTCATAACCAAAGGCCACAGTTTTCCTTAGGTGCTGATAAGAACATCCCCAGTGAACTTGTAAGAAAGAAGGACTGCCCTGGTGTAAGTGCCATGCCCTGATACTGCTTCTGAGCTGTGGAAAAGAGTTTCTCTGTTGTTCCAGAAAACTCTGAACATCTAACAATCTTCTTAATTTCTGCCATTGTTTAGGTGGCTTTATAATAAAAAAAAGAAAGAAATCCATAAAAATTTCCAGATATCATTTATCTGATTGCCCCCCCCCCCCCCCGCACCGCAATAAAGACTGTCTCTAGTATTGCCATACATATAGTAAGAGAATTGGAATTCACAAGTGCATTCCCCTCCCCCCTTTTTTTCCTTCTCATTTTTGGTTTAATCAAGATTCCTGGAAATGGCTTTATGCTATCTTGACTGATGCAATGGAAAAAGCAGCTCCTTGGAGCCAGAGACCTTGCCTTGTAACAAACAGCCAGTGCCCTTCACTGGCTGAGTGACCTTGGACAAGTCACTTAAGTTCTCTGGACCTATTTCCTCATGGGTAACTTGAGAATTTTGTTCTAAATTATTCTAACCTCCTTTGCAGCTCTAAACATAGGCCTGTTTTGTAGAAAATGACTGATAGCATTTAATGGGTCAGTTGAAATGAGGATTCTTTTTGAGGAAGCTGCTGATGGGGTCACAATGAAGTGCATTAGAGTATTC